GGAGAGGGAGAGAGCGGCAAAATTTGGGCCTGGAGGAGCAGGGCGAGCGGTGTCTCTCGAGGGGAACGGTCCAAAAATAATAATAACAAAGATTAATTTAATAAAAAGATGGATTTAATTAGCTTGCTGAGTTAGCTTAGGGAGCCGTCCTGTTGGGAGTCTTTTCCGTGACTCTCACTAGGGGACGAGACGTCAGTGTGGCGTTTGGGTCGGAAACAAGTAAAAGCAGTGAAAAGCCGCTCGCGGCTCAAGCCGGGGGGATGCGGGCCCGAGACCGTTTAACGCTTTTGCTAAGAAAGCGGAAATCCTCCCAGCTACACACCCGAACAACACATAACCCCGCAGTCCCCGAGTCCCTTTCGCACGCTTGGAAACGGCAGTGATTTTTTTTTTTTCCCCCCTTTTCCTCAGCGTTACAGGATGTGCCAACCGGAAGAGCCAGACAGGTGGAAACACGGAGCAGAACCAGCACAGCTGGTAGGTGTCTCTCTCACAAGATGTTTCGAGATTGGCAAAGACAACAACAGGCCCCGCAGAAGAGCTCCAGTCCTGAATTTAATAATTGCTTTTTTGTGGGTTTCTGGCCCAGTTTTGGGGGAAGGGGCAGATTTCGATTCTACATTGAATTAACCAAAGAGTTCAGACTTCAGTGATATATTTTATTATATACAGTATTTTAGTTGCCCCAGACTCTTTAATATAAACATCTGAATTAATGGTTCTCCATGTTGCAGTGACACAGCTGCATTTAAGAAAATGCTGCGCTGAAAACTGCTGTTTATGTGGACCTATTCCTTCATTCCCAGTTCTTTGATTCCTGTTGTCACTCAGCCTTTCAAGTTTTTTCGTTTGGCATCCAGACTGACACGCAGACTGCGAGCTCCCCCAGAACAGAGTTGGTCCTAGATGTTTGCATGTATCATGGCCTTAAGACAGGGCCCCCGACCTGGTTCTTTGTTAATTATGTTGAGCCTCATTCCTAGCTGTAGAGCTGGATCGCTTGATACTAACTAAGGATTTGGACAACACCCAAATCCTTGGCAAAATGGGATGCCACTAAATAAAGTACAAAACACCATTGCAGAGAGCGATCATTGAAGTAGACACTGGTCGCGCTTTATTTACAAAATCCAGAGATTTGTACACAGCAATCTACAGGATGGCATAGGGCTTGTGTCAGGAGATTAAAGGACATGCTCAGCAGGTATTGAAGATGCCAGCAAGGAGTCGTCTCAGCTCCAGGGGGAACCTGCTTCCTTTTGACTCAGGAAACCACTGGACTCCTCCAGAGGGGAAAAAAAGAAAAGCAGCAGCAATAGCCAGCCCAGGCTGATGTTGCAATTTTTGTTATTGCTGAGGCATGGGAACACAAGTGATTTGTGAAGGAAGAAAGAAGAGACCAGCAGGGTTCAGGCGTGCCACTATGGGCCATCCTGCCTGGTTCTTTACTTCCAGCGCCCACCAACTTTGCCCTTGGCTCCTGCCTTCTTGCTGCTACAATACAAAAGGAAAGAAAAACGTGTCAGCACGATGGAAGCAGTGGGGCTCTTGACCACTGTGCTCTCAGGTCAGTAGTGAGCTGCTTTTACCTCTCACGCGTTGGGCGTACCTGTCACAGAGCACATCCTGGGGAAAATAGGCTGATACTGTGGAATGAGACTCCACCTCAGGCCCTTAGTGAAAGGCCAGGATGTGCATGCCTAAAAGAGGTGCACATTTCCAGATTCCTGCATTATCAGACCAGAAATCCGGGTGACCTCAGCACTAACAGGGACAGGCCTATCCAGTCACAAATTTGACGTTTCCAGAGTGCAAGACTGCTTTGATCCGGAATGTAGGTTATAGATCTGTTTCCACAGAAAACTTCCTCATTATCAGAGCGCTCTAGTCAAATAACTCAGATGCTCTAGTCATCCGGTAGCGGAGACGAAAGAATCTGAACAATAATTTAAATACAACTAAGGCCTGATTTTAAAAATTGCTTTGCTATAGCAAAGGCTGTGTGACTTCTTCGTTACATTATGAGAGCAAGTCTCTAGAATGGTACGAGAAACCTTTGAAGGCTTCCTCTCATACCAGTATATTCCGGTCTTGCTAAGGGGTGCGTGGGAGCAGTCCAGTTACACTTCCCACACAAAGCACCTCAAGCAAACTCTCCAGTATCTTCTTGCACACCACTTACCTTCTGACTGAAAAACAGGTATGCCTGGATTCAGAGAGGGTCCAGGCAAGAAGTTAGTCAGGTTAGTTTTTGCACTGGCTCCCATAGGCAGTGCCCAGGCTTTTGGGGCACCGCACATCACCAGACCCATCCATCTCATGCACACGATGCTGAGGCTACTTCTTGAACCAAAGCACATGTGAACTGGGCTCTTTGACGCTGCAAGAGCATGGATTGGGAGGCAGCACATTGTGGTGGGACCTTACCATCAACAAGGAAGCCTCCTTCAGACCACTGATTCCTCCAGAGAGCGGAAAATAATAACGAAAAGACGACATTTTGGGAGATTTTTGTAGTGCTGCCTAGTGGATTGGTTCAAGAATACTAGCCATATTTGTGAAAGGACATAACGCAGTGACACAGACACACACGTAGCGGGTACTTTACCTTTTGACCAAGTTAGACTTGATCTATTCCAAAAATTGACCCTTTGCATAAGAGACAACAGAGCAGTTTCTGCTTACTTTAAATCCATTTCGCTATCCCTTTTGCCAGCCTTCCCACTGGTTCAAAACCCAGTGTAGGAACTGTACATTTCCTCTAACTAAGACAGAGTCCTTTTATCCCCACAAAGGCCTGTGATGTTTGATGTTATGCCTAACCTTTAGAGTGCGCTTAAGGAGATTTAATGAAGTCTAAAGCAAAAGGATCTTTTTATAACATATTAACAGACACTGCTTCGGAATGCGACAGTCTGTTTTGGGGAGAAATACAACCATGCAAAAATCTCAGGTGCTCCGGGGTTCCCAATCCAACCTTTCTGAACAACGTCCCATTGCACTAAAAAGAGTATCATGTCTTTTAGGGGAGCAAACGGGCAGTAATAGTACATCCTGCTGTGGGGTGGTGTGACAGTGCCCCTAGAAAGGGCAGCAACGCCCAGACAAACCACGGCATCCTTCTGCAGCTGCACATTCTGTTGAGGTTTATGAGCCTACAGCTCTGTAAAGAAAATACTGTGGGAAGGTCAAGCCTTATGTTTGGCACCTACACACAACTAAGCCCACAGTGTTGCATTCATTTCATAAGGGAGGGTGGACTGGGGAAGTGGGAAGGCATGCCGCATTTGGTCACCTGTGTGATTCAAAGACAACCACTTCATTCTCAGCATGATTTTGCTGAGAAGATACGGACACACAGTGAAGATCAAACCCCAACACTGGAGAACTCTCACTCTTTTACTTCCCCGCTGCCCCTCTGTCTGTTACTTTTCTGCATGCGCTAGCCCCCAGGCCTTGTCTACCCCTGGTTCTCAGCAAGCTCACTGTAAACACATAGAATAGTTAAAGACGTAGGACTCAGAAAATTCTATTTAAAGAGAAATCATGTGGGGAAGGAAGGTGGAAGAGAGATAACGAATGAAAAGAACTCACAACAGTAATCCCATGATATTAGTCTTGTTATACACCGTTCCTTATCATCTTAGCAACCACTTGTTTACCCTTCATAAACAAGGGTTGTATTCCATTGTGTATTCAAAGCACCTCAGTCAGGTGTTTGAAAACCCCAGCAATAAGCAGATGTAAATTTTGCTGACACTGTGAAGAAGCACAACCTTTTTAAATATTAGCTGCTAGATTCACTTCAGTTTCCCCGTCATTTTCCCAATGTGAGGCAGAATGGGAATTGCCCTTCCATCTCTAGCCTCGTTCCATTGCAACAAGAAAATGTCGGTGTTGGGGCCCGAAATGGCTATTTCAAACACTTAAGATCATATCCCCAGCCTAGAGCTAGGAAGGGGATATGGATACTTACTGCTTCTGAGCCTGATCAATCCGGTTCCTGAGGGTGACAATCTGCAAACGACATACATGACCAGGGTTTTTAAAGGTGTCTGCTAAGCAACCTCGTTCCCTCGCCAGGAGGGGAGTTTACCTGTTGGACTGCTGGAAATAGGTGCCTGTGGTAGGGATTAACACTTCCTTTGAGATAAAAGCTCACCCTTGCTTGAAGAAGAGAAATGTTGCTACTTGGTAGTAAATCTTCAAGCCAATTTCACATTTCAAGAGAAAGAAGAGCTAGAATTTTACAACCTTTATTAGAAGAGTTCCTATGTATACCAATTAGTCTATTATGAATTGGCATATCAAACTACAGGCAAGTGAACTGGAACGAGTATCACCCTGGCCAGCTGGAAAGCTCTTGGACAGCCTCATCTTGCATTTGTCAGCCTCACTGTCTCACTCTTCCGCTACTACTAGCACATTACGAATTATGTAGGTTAAGGAGTTTCAGCGGACTGA